TGATGCTGGGAATATATGGGATTTTATTTCTGCCAAAGTTCTAACCTGGGAAAGGGGTACTGTAAATGCCTGAATGTGTATTATTGTGCATACCGGGGGTGTGAAACCATTGCTACAGACTGGACACTCGGGGCTGGTCAGGATAAATTCTTACAAGTGGGGTATGGGCTGCAAGGTTGTAACCGACAATTGGATCCTTGTTACAGGTGGCGAGGGCATGGTATAGGGTATACAGGAACCTTCCACGGAAATAAAGAAATTTGCAAGGTTCTATATATAAATATAACAAACTCAGACGATACTAGCTGGGTACTAGGGAAAAATGTCAGATTTTACTAACATGGAACAGATAGGGGAGGACTCATACCAATAAAGAAGGAAAAACCCGAGACTTCCAAGGTAGTCGGGCCTAATAAAGAGTTATTAGGGGAAGGTTTGGTTGTCCAGACTGTAAAGATACCTGGGACTGCCCAACCTACTACAGTGTTTTCTAATAAGTCGACAGAGTTATCCTTACCCACACTGCTTCCAAGCATTGTGAAAAAAAAAAGAAAGGGGTTGTACCCGAGAGTAGTATGTGGAAAGTTATAAATGCTAGTTTCCAGGTACTAAATCGAACTAATCCTGAGATAACTGAAGGGTGCTGGCTATGTGTAAGTGTTAAGCCCCCATATTATGAAGCTATAGGAGATATGGGGAGGTCTGAATATTCAAACGAGTCAAATCCTTCCAAGTGCAGTTGGGGTCAGGAAATTGGGATAACTTTGACTCAAGTTATGGGAAAAGGTAGATGTATCGGCACAGTTCCAAGAGATAAAAATGATCTGTGCCATGCCACTGAAAAAAAAAAAAAAAGTACCAAACACACAAATGGTTAATTCCTGCAAATAACACTAGGTGGGTATGTTCATTGTTGAGAGTCACTCCTTGCCTATCTTTAAAATTGTTTAACACATCTCACGATTTTTGTGTACAGGTGGTCATTATACCAAGGATTCTATACCACACTGAAGAGTATACCCATCACACAGTGGCTGAATACCATCTGGTAAAGATCATACTGGGGTGGTAAGAGATACAATGACTAAATTGCGGGAAGGATTAGAAAAATGCAAAAGGGAAAATGAGGCTCGTCAGAATTGGTATGAATCCTGGTTTAATTACTCACCTTAGCTTACTACACTGCTAACAACCATAGCGGGGCCCTTGTTGTTACTTATATTAACACTGACTTTTGGACCATGTATATTCAATCGAGTAATCGCAATTGTGAAAAGACAATTGGAAGCTGCTCATCTTATGCTTGTGCATGCTAAGTATGAATCTCTTGAGCAGGAGGAGGACGACGCAGAAACTTTGATGCTCAGCAAGAAAATATGGCAAAAATTCAATGAACAAAATATGTTAGAAAAAGAAAAAGGAGGGATTGTGATAAATTAGTAGGGGTTTGTTCATTGTCCTTGAGAATTTAAAGAATCTACTGAGTAGATAAGGTTTCACAACTCACGGCATTGTAACATGGGGACAAATGGGGAAGGGGGGTTGGGTAAACATCCTTGTTAAAACAAGGATTTTGTAAGATACCACCCACCCACTGCAAGACATCCTATTTTGCCCCCACCTGAACACAAGCACAATGCATGATCACCGGAGGAAGAATAACGACCCCCAACAACAGACTGCTCAGCCTCAGAACAAGTCTCGACAAGTCGACAAGTCGACAGGTCAAGTCTCGACAAGCCAGAACTTGAATGCTATAAAACAGCGACACTGGAAAGGGGAAGTTGCGTGCTGTGGTGGAGGGGGGACTCCCCAGCCGCCCAGCGCTGTTTTGCTTGTGTCTGCTTACTTGATTAATAAAATAATTTCAATAGACCAGAAAATTGTGTGGTCTAACTTATAACAGAGCAATGCTAAACAACCACGATATCCCAGAACACAGAAATACTGCGTAACAGTGACAGAAAGTGCTAGAATTCAAAACAAAAATTACCTCCACCAAATCGGTTTTGTCGTAGTCTTCTCTGTGGTTGTAAATACACTGATTAATGACGCCATATACTTTTTCCAGGTGATAAATGTCAAATCCCTTCGTTATCTCAGTGACAAAGCATAACAGTTTCTGAAGACAACAATGGAGCAAAACAACAACTTTAGAATAGTACAAGATCCTTTGAATACGCTCTATATGTTTTTGGAGGTCGAACAGTAACAACACAAGTGAGAGCCTACTTTTTCTTATGCTATTAAATAAAATGTGACACTTCAGAGAACAGATTAAATATCCCATGAGATTTCAGCAGGGAAAATGAGTTAATTTTTCATATTTCAGAGAAAGGAAAGGCTGAAATTTCGGACAATCTTTTACTACTAACCAATCTATCACATCAATGGTTGTAATTGCAAGTCGACTGCTCCCAAAGCAGCAGGGAATGACACGATCCTCTTTGTAGGACAGCTGCTGCCACAGCAAAGCCACTGTTGCATTTCATTAGAGAAGCATTGCAGCAGCGCGGGGCACTGTAAAAAGGCTGCAGATCTTGTAGATACAGCTGTGCCAGCTGGAAAAGGAAGCACCCTTAGGTGATTACCTTTACCCATGTGTGCTATGCCTACAACTCTGCTGGCAGAACAGATTGCTCAAACGCCCAGAGCAAAGGTGGATTAGTTTGCTCAATCCTACCTTTATATTCAGGGGTGGGTAAATAGCAAAGCGACTGCTTGTAGCAATCACCTCTCTCTCACACAGTCATTTCTATTACCAAAGATGCAGAGATGATAATCTCTGGCACAGCAACAGTGACAAGCTAGTGGCAGCACCTTCTTCCACTGCCACAGCTGTCCATTACCTGTGTGAGCCTGCAAGCATGTAGCTTTAGGGAGCAGCCATACCAAATGGAAATACTACTGCCCCTGGAAATAATGCTGCTTATCATCTTATCAGCAAACTCTGCCTCCCTCATGTGTATATATATATATATATATACACACACACACACAATATAAGAAATTCTAATACTGCACTTTCAAGGAATTTCAGAAAAGTAGTCACTTCTCCATGGCTAGCTAGTTTACGTTGACCTGCTAACTTCAGGTTTAAAATCATCACTGCAAGAAATAAAGATCCTTTTCAGGTTCTTAATACATCAAAGCATGAAAAAAAATCCCCAAATAAAAGCCCTCAAACCCATCATAAGAATTATGAATCATTAAAATGATATCCATAATAGTACTAGCAGGATGTCAGTGTGGTATTTTAAAATTCAGCAAGGCCTTTTGTCTGAAAAATTAGGCAAAGAATCTGTCTCCTAAACTACAGATGACCAGAAGCAAATGGTAGCCTACAGAAATCTCCATGAGGTGTGGAAACTAAACAGTCACAGTGCATTACAGGCTGAATTATTTCACTATCTGTATGTCCTTCCAATTAATTGTTTTAATTGGCATTGGTTAACAATGGGCTTAATTTGCAATTTTACATGATGCAGGAATATGTCCTATTTGAGCATTAAAAAAAAGCTGAAGTTAGACATACTTTGAGCTCATAGCGATCCACAATAACTATGTAGTCTGTCTCCATAGGGACTTGTACAGTGTTCTCATCACTTATCTGTTGCTGGTCTTCTTCCCAAGAACGTTCAGGAGTCACCGCTTGAAATGCCCAGGAATCTGGAAGGACACAGATTTCTTCAGTCAGGTTTTCTGTTTATCTAGAATACAGTCTCAGTGAAGTATCCTGTACCTGCCAAACAGTCTCTTTCTACAAATACAGAGACAGAATTGTTATCGTCTTCACTGAGAAATACTTGGCTTCTCCCTTCTTTCCAGCTAAAGTCACTGCTCCATAAAAATTAGAAACTAAGACAAAAAAAGCAAACAAAAATACCCACAAACAAACCAAAAGCACTAATGAAAAGCTTAATAGTGGAAAAAAATAGTCATGTTGCCAATTCAGGGCTCAGAGTCTCAGAGCGCGTGGTGAAAGGTGACCCCCAGCTGGCTGCTGGAGGAAGCTGAGGCAGCGTTCAGCTCTAACCTTTGCCTTCTTGGCTGGCATCTTTGCACTCCTGCTGTCAGTGGGTGTTGAGTGTCCTTCCCCCCAGCCTCAGAACGTGCCCTCAGATGTAGGCAGCGTTTAGCAGCTAGAATTCACTCCAATATAAAGAGTACAAATCATGCGTTTTCTGCTTTTGCTTTGGAACTCTTAGCTTGAGGTTTTCCTGCAGGCCATGAGGTTTCTTGCAGCAGCAGGGATGAGTTCTGTTAGCAAGAGGCTGTTCTGTGCTTCGACTGTGGGAAGACGAATGGTTACCTGTGCACCGTTAAATAGAACTTGACACCTAGCACACCGCACTTGCAGCCTGTGGGGTGCTTTAACAAGCAGGTAAATCATCAGAGGCTGTTTTGCAGCCGGGGTGATGCTGGGTGATTAAAAAGCAGGGGAGAACAAGGAGTTTCTGGTGTTTGTTCTTGCTTGTCATCTGACTCTCCACTTCCACTGTTCTTTAAAAAAAAAGAAACAAACAAACAAACAAAACAAAAAAAAAAAAAACAAGGGGTAAGCATCTTAATATCTTTATTATAAATGGAAGGCACAAAACAAGCCTGTAACAGAGACTGTCTAAGAGAAATACGTGGTGCTTTATAAACAAACAAGGAAGTACCCTTAGGTGGGTGTGATAATCCTCCTCTAACGCGTTTTTGGAGTGCAAAAATAGATTTGTTCCTTTCTTGCTCTTCTCTCCAGGACAAAGGCAGAATAGGTAACTGCAAAGTTAGACCAGGGAGGTCAGTTTGTTCCATACTGAGAAAGACAAGCCTGTAAAACAAACTAGACAGATTTTCTTTGTGTTATTTATCTTCCTTCAGCAAAGGCAAAGTTTATGCCACTTGTTGGTGTGTATTTCCAGTATTTGGGAAAAAGGCTTTGCTCTCTTCGAGAGACTGATAACTTGATTTGATTAACTGAAGAAAGCTGGAAAACTGTTGGTTCCTCATTATTTTTCACTTGTTACTTTCTTTAGGGTTACTTTTAAAAAGAAGATTTCACTGATCACAAGCCAGCAGAAGACTTTCAGCCCAAGCAAGGGTGAAGACAGCTCTCTCCAAGAGCAGAGGAAGTCCCTGTGGAGAGAACCCGAGCTTGTTAGCAGAACTCGTCGGCATGTCTAAACAAGGAGACGATTGCTACTTCTATTTCTATTCTACCTGTACCAAGGTATGGCTGGCTTTCCTTTGCTTTGCTTTTTTTCCCCGTTTTTTTCAGGAAGGAGTAGATTAGGAGGAGGAAGCACACTGGTCTTTGGTTAACTTGAGAACCAGATAGATTCAGTTCTGAATTCAGTTGTAGCAACATTAGGCAGCAGCATGGCCATTTTTGAGGCTGTACTATATTTTCCTTGTTGGTTTCCTTTTGGTTCCAGGGAGACAAATGTGCCTACCGCCACTGCGAAGCTGCTCTGGGCAATGAGACGGTCTGCAAGCTGTGGCAGGAGGGTCGTTGTTTCAGGAATGTCTGCCGATTCAGACACATGGAAATTGACGTGAGTGCCTAACGATGTGTTCTCAAAATAAATCAACAAAAGCCTTTTTCAGTGCCGTAGGTGTACTGATTGTGCTTTTGCAGGATAGATTTGTTTGCTTCAAAATCATACTGGTTTCTGTTACCAAGAGAGGGGGTGGGAGGAAGCAGAGGGAAATAAAATCAATGCCTTAGGTATGTCTTAGCAAAATATATATATATATATTTTTTTATTGGATGCTGACAGTTTTCTCAACAGATGCAGAATAGCTGTTAAATAGACTGCTAAAACCTGCTGGAGCAGAGGGGTAATAAACAGGCTGTTCTATCCTCATGGGAGCAGGCTTGATAATGAACTATTGGGTCTCTTCTGACCCACAGTCCTTCAGACAACGCTGTTCTAGCTGCCTGGGGTAGGAAGTGGGGAAAGTTAAAGGTGCAGAAGAACTAAGTCTCCAAGAAGTAGTTCTAGACAGGGTTAACCTAGGCAATTTCAGATGTTCTTTTTCCCTCTGAATAATGCTAGTATAATCCTAGGTGTATTAGTTTAACCCACCCTCAACTGATGTCTGAGAGTGCCTGTCTTCTCAAACTGAATGATGACAAATCTAAATGTGCATCGTGGTTGCAGCTTATGCAAACTTTGTGAATATGCCCAGAAATACTACGCTTAACTGAGAAACTGACCTTTGGAATGATGTTTCAGCACTGTGTTGTGACAGCTGTCATGATCTGGAGCTGTGCATCTCTTTGCAAGCCTCAGGTGCATGTTATCATGAGCTTTTCTTTCTTTCTGTCTTCAGAAAAAGCGCAGTGAGATTCCTTGCTACTGGGAGAACCAGCCGGGAGGCTGTCAGAAAGCCAACTGTGCTTTTCATCATGCAAAGGGATGTTACATCGATGGACAATTCTTACCACCAAGCAAGAGTGAGTTTAGGTCCTTTTTCTTTAAGCGCTGAAGAATTAATTTTGAGTATTACTTAGTGGGTGCCAATCCTGTAGGGGGCATCAGGTAACTGTTCATTTGTGAGTGCAGGAAAAGGTCTGCAGTCATAGGTGGTCAGTTAAACCGAGTGTACTGCTGGTGTTTGTTTTCTGCTTTCGTGCTCAGCTTCTCTTTGCTTTGTGTGATGTTTGCCTTGCAGTTTGCTTCCTGTTGTTTCATCTTTTGCTGGGTGGTAGGGAGATGTGTTGTTGTTCGAAGGGAAGTCATTGTTCCCGGTGTAAACAGTGATGGGATGGGCAAAAGGAGATGCTGATTTCGTTGTCTGTGCGGGTTATCTGCCTTTCCTACCATCTCTTTGCATTGTGGTCAAAGTTTTAAACTGCCATATTACCGACGATCCTCCTCTTCCTCTAGCTACACTGCCAAGTCCGCCTGAGTCCGCGGACGATGATTTGAAAGTGGCTCAGATGTCACTGCAGCAAAAGAAACTTTCTGTCCAGTCAAATCCCTCTCCACAGCTAAGGGGGTGATGAAAGTGGAAAACTCTGAAAATGTCCCAAGCCCTACACACCCTCCAGTTGTAATCAATGCTGCAGATGATGATGAAGATGATGATGGTGAGCATGTGTTGGTTCTTGGAAGGAATTTTTGCTGTAAATGATTGTGTAGATCTTTGGTTCTTGAAGGAATCTGTGCTGTAAATGAATGTAGAAATCACAGATGACCTGAGGTCTGACTAGCGATAGGGCAGGCAGTCTGGCCAGGTCACTGGTGGCTTTGTCTGGCAGTCAGTGGACAGAACCTGAAACGTTGGAGGAAAGCTTAGAACCACTCCTGGCTTTAGCTGGTCTGTTGTGTAAAGTTCTATGTGAAACTAGGAAGGAAATTTCTTTTTTCTGTCTGAAGAGCAATGTGTTGTGTAGTAGTTAAAGCTGCAAAGAGAATCTAGAGTCCTAGATGTTTTGTCCTAGTGTATTCTACTTAGGAGTTCATCAGGTCTGTGTAGCTGTTTAAAAAACAAAACAAAACAGCAACAAAGTTTTTTATATGAACCATGGGCTGAAGTGTCACTGCATGAGCTACGTAATCATGAACAATCTGGTCTATGCATAACTGAATAGATTCTTCCCCTTCAGACCAACTTTCTGAGGAAGGAGAAGAAACTAAAACTCCCGTCCAGCAACCAGCTGCGGAAGGTAAAAATGGATTACAGGTGATTTCCACTCGGAAAGGCAGTTCTCCTACTACTAAACAAGGTATTCCAGCACCTTAGTAGGATAAATCAGAAGAACTTGACAGTGAAGTCAAAAGCAGTGTGGTGTAAAAACACAACAAAATGTAGGGGTGCTGAATGGACTCGGTATCTCATTTCTGCCATTAATACCATCATGTGCCCATTGGGCCAGAAAGATGAACTCCTTTTCTTTACTTTTGGAGAACAAACCAGGGCCACAGCATGGAGTTTAAATGGCTGCACGTGCAGCCTTGCAACCACTGTTGATAAGCCATATCTAACGATAGAGGGATCTAATATGGTGTAAATGGATTAAAATTAAAACTACATTTTTAACCCTGAAGGATGAAAGGAGGGGCAAAATGCCATTGGTTCTAGGGCTCTTTCACTTGTGAGGAGTGTTGACAGGCTTTATTCTAAATACTTCAGAAAGTTCCTGAGCGCTAAGAAGCCTGAGGACCTGTGGTCCTCCGTGAGTGCCTCTAAGCCTGTCTCATGAACTGTTTCCTGTTTTCAGAGGGCAATCTGAATTTTGGAATAAAAACACTTGAGGAAATCAAATCGCAGAAGATGAAGGAAAAAAATGAGAGACACGGTGGTGAGTTAATATGCCCTACTTTCTGATCCTGTTCACGGCAGGTGATGGTGACTGGGAGCTGCTTGAGGGACAGACTTCCATTTTTAGCTGGGGGCATCAAGCAACCTGATTCTCAGCCAGCTGGTATTCTAAATGGGAGTTCAAAGGGCAACCAGAGGCAAATTAGTCGCCTCTCTTATTTACATGCTCTGCTTGCTGTATTTTTGACAGTAACAAATAATTTAAAGTTTTTTGTTCTTTGTGATAGTTTTTTATGCTGGGTAAACTTCCTTATGTTTTGGTTGCTCTGAACAGAAGGTTCTTCAAGATCTTCTCTTCGTCCCGTTGATTCTATGATTTTTCCTGCTCCAGAAAAGGAAAATGTCCGGACAGTGGTGAGAACTGTGACACTGTCTTCCAAGAAAGGTAGTAAGGAATGCTTTTGTTTTGATTTCATTACTCCTAAACTGGAGGGTTAAGCAATAATTAAAACAATTCACCCGTGTTAGCCTTCTGGTGCTGCCTTCTGTTCAAAACGTGCTTTTATGCTTCAAGTCCCTGGTTGTACTGGAAAGATTTGGTGCTCAGGTTAAGTGCAGTGGCAGGAGAAAAAAAAAAAGTGTCAGTATGCAAATAGGGGGGTAACTGAAAAACAGAAGAGTAAGGAGAAGAAAGAGCTGTAGAAGACAGTGCTATATAAGAAGCAATTTCTGAAGCATTAAAGAGGCTGACAGTGGCAGGTGTGGACACAGTATGACAGGAGTTTGTGTATAAATTGTTTAGAGCTGTGCAAATGCCTTTTAAAGGGAAAAAAGTGTGGAAGTACTTTTACTCGTAGACATTCACCTTAGAAAGGACTATTTCTCAGCATTTGTACCTAATAATATTCTGCTTGCTTATGCAGCTTTGTTCTGCACAAAGTATAGCTGTCAAGCAGACTCAGATTCACGCTCTACTATCTCAGCTGGAATTTGAAGCAAGCACTGAGACTCTTAATATTTTTTTTCTATGTTAATTATAGTTAAAATATGAGTTTATGTGGTTTAGCTGTCAAAACAGTGTCTGACTGGGTTTTTTTGGACATGGGCTAACAGGATAATATTTCTGTTGGCTACTGGTTTCTGTGAAATAGAAAAAAAATTCCCTTTTGTTTTAGGGGAGGAACCTGTGGTTCGACTAGATCTTGCTGATAGACAAGGAAAACGGAAAGCCTCCGCGGGTAAGAACTTTTTATGAGCTGTTACGTAGGTGCTGCCTTCTATATATGACTGCATTAAAGAGTATTTTTGAGGTATGAAAGGAAAATACATTGCAGTAGAGATCTGTGTTGACTGCAGAAATGGAAAAAAAAAAATCATTTAGCAGCTGAAAGGCAATTCTATGAAAATATGCTTGAAAAATAGAAGCGTATTGTTGACTGTTCTCAAACCATCCTGCAAAGAAAAGTTCTTACAATATTCCTTGTTTTCTCTGAAGATGATGTAAGCACCGTTCCAGTGAAGCGCAGCCTTGCTGAAAGGCTGGGGAAGAAGGTAGAGGCTCCGGGAAATGCTGACAAAGCACCCAAGAGAGATACAGGTACTAAACGGGCATCTGGATTGGATTCCTGGGTTTTGTATTTAGTCTTTCTGTTTGTCCTTTTCCAGTGATGTTTCTTTTTGCATGTTGGCTGAGGTCGTAATCACTGGGATTCAAAGTTACCTTTCCTGTCTTGTTTTGAACTGTGAACCTGAAGTTGACATTATGCAGCCTCCCTGATTCATTCTGTTTCTGTTTTGCAGTTCAAGTTGCCAAGTCTCTGAAGGACAGGCTGGGATTACCTCCTAAACAGACCAGCACTGAGAGAGGTAACAGCTAGATATTAAATATGCTTTCTCCTCCTTCCTTTCCATGAACTTGGACTGCTTTCATCCATCCCTAAAAACTAATTTAAACGAAAACAAAGAACTGATGCCTCTTGCTTGAGTGCTGAAGCTCTTCTGACAGCCACTATCAGAAATCTGGCTCTAGGTGTGTGTTTATTTTCTACTTGTGCCTTGTCAAGGTTTTTAGCTGCTTCTGTGAACCGTTACGTACCATTAGAATAGAACCACTGCCAGGAGCAGGAATTTGAAATGCAGTCTGAAGAAGTAATAAAGTAAAGCAGCATTTCTGTGCAGCAGTTCTCTCTGGATAGGGCTGGTCTTCAAAATACAAGTGGCTCAGAGGAGGAGGAGAATGTTGTTCTAAGGATATTGTTCTAAGATGCATTATTGGGAACACTCCAGATTAGTTTTCCTTAGTGCTCTGACAAATTTTGGAGACTTAAAATATTGCTGGACTCTCTTTAAATGTTGGTGCTTCTCCTCATTTCTTGATGATGACAGGGAAGGCTGCTAAGCCGATGGGAGAGATCCGTGTGAAAACACTGGAGGAAATCCGTCGTGAGAAAGCTCTTCAGAGACGCGAAACTCAAGCCAAAGGCGAGGCTGAAGGGCATGGTAAAACTGAAGATTCCAGCGCAGGGGCAAGACCTGCTCGTGCAGGTCGCATCAAAACTTTCTCTGAAGCCTTGTCTGAAAAAAAGAATAATCGCTTGGTAGAAGAGAAGAAAAAAGCAGGAGAATCCCATACCAAGAGCAAAATTCAGGGTGAGTCCAAGAAGCAGCTCGCTCTGTCCGGGCGAATGGATTGCACATTGTAGCCTTTCTCTCTCTCTCTCATGGGACACAAGGATGCACAAATGCACAAAGGAAACAAGTACCCAGCTTTCTTTATTTCTGCCGTTGACAAAACTTTTTTGTCTTTTTTTAAAGCACCTGAAAAAGAAGAAAAGAAGGCAGTGGAATTGAACCGGCCTTTTCCTAACCTTTCCTCTGTAGCTGATGTACAGGTGAGTCCTCTGTGAAGACACACATCCATTCGTACAATTTCTGATAATTCTGCCAAGTTTTGTTACTCACCGTGTGCCACCCTCTTGAGTGTGTTCTTACCCTTCAGCACCTGGTAGGAGCTGCAGTGCAGTCTAAATCCTATCGCCAGCAGCATTTCCAGACAACTCTGTAATCCTCAACCTTGGAATCAGTCTGTTTATACCACAGCAACAAAGAAACCCTGTTAGCACCAGCTGAAATCTACACGGTTAACGTGGAGGGAATTCTTTTTGTTCTTACTGACTTGATCTGTCAGACATGAAGGATTTAATACGGAAGGCCAGAGTTCTGTGTTGAAGGAAATCAATCTGTCAGTGGATACTGTATAGAGGAACTTGTATGACGTTCTGCTGCTTAAAAAGAATGTGATAAATAGATGTACAGCAGAACACCCTAGCTGTTTAAAGAAGCTTGCCATAGTGGATATTGCAGATATGGGAGACTGTGTCCATAGTAAAGCATGGCTCTTGTTACAGGCAGAATTTTATGGAAAAAAAAAAAAAGTCATGTTTTTAACATGCAGAAGTTAAAGAATTCAGAGTTGAGACTCACTGAGGCCAAGCAAAAAATGAGAGAACTTGCACTTAACATCAAAATGAAAGAAGAACTTATTAAGGAATTAGTAAGAATAGGTAAATGACTGAAAAATTGAAATGAAGACATTCAGAAATAAGCAAGAAAAAAGACACAAAACTTCTGAAGACCTGCATATCTTAGTTTTTGGGTAATTTTCTTCTGCGGGAATACTTCTGGTAACTTACAGTTTCCTAACTTCTATGAATTACTTGCTATGAGTGCATTGAAGGCTGCAAATTTTTATTGTGTCCTACTCAGCTGTGATCTGCAGATTTGTTTGTTAAATATTTTTTTGTGTTTTGTGGCTTATTGTGTTTATCCACCTATAGTGTAATTTTTCACGTATGCTTAGTGCAACTGATCTCTTCATGGACATGTGTTTGTCTCCCAGTGTCTGGGATAGGAGAGAAGATACGACACTGTGCTGGGAATGCTTGCATTCCCATCATAGCAGTAGAGAAGCAGGAGTCAGAAGTGGATGAGGGAAAAGGTCAGTGTCCCTGTTAGCCTATATCATTACACAGCTGTCCTGATATATATATGCTTGCCAGAAACTTATCATTATGATGACCCTAAAGATCTGTGCTTACCTGTTTCAATCACACTCTTCTAGTGTGTACATATTCTCCTGAGGCAGTCTTTTGGCATTGAGAAACATTGTGCGCCCCCAGTAACAGTACTTACGGAATCCCAAACAGAGCAAATCAGATTGCCCGAACAGGGCAAATCAGTAGAAACACAATCGAGAGTTTTTTGCTGATTACCAAGTTGAAAGCTGAGAAATATGTAGCATATTCTTCTGGGGAAAAACAAACAAACAAACAGACAAAAACAAAACAACAACAACAACAACAACAACAACAAAAACATAATAATACAGGCAAGCTATTTTGTCAAGGACTGCAGTAGGCAGAAAATTTTCACTTGATGTGGCACTCAGGTGTTACTTTCTTTGGTGACATCAGATGATTTATGAAGAGTTCAGATTTAAGATTCCTTCGTTCATCTATATTTCAGTGTTATAAGGGAGCTGTTTGTTTAGGTTTGGAAAATGTCTCAGAAATTTTTGGTTTAATCAGGATGAAGTAAGTAACGATTCAATTACAGGTTTAAGTGATACATTGCAAATTATTATCTTGCTGTTTTAAAACTATTTGGATATGATGTCTTTAAGGTAAGGATGCAGAGTATGTAAGCAGGCAATATTCTTTGAAGATAACTAAACCGGAGCAAGAATCCGAGCAGGCCAAAATGGAACTGGCCGAAACTCAAAAGCAGCTTCAGGAGCTGGAGAATAAGAAGCTGAGAGAGCTTCCTGAGAAAGCCAAGCTACAAAAAGAGTTCCGAAAGAAGATGGATGCAGCTAAGCTGAAAGTGCAGGTATTTCCAATATGACCATTAGGATTTGCAAATTCCTGTCTCAGCATCACCTTTGAAATCCGTACACTCTGCTTGTGAAACTCTCACCAGCTTCACACAATTGAAGCTAGTTGGATTGAAGTTGCCAATGAGAACCTTCACAAAGTTATACCCACTACTATTTAACAACTAAGTAGTTAGATAGTTCTGTCTTTGATGATTTTACAAAGGCTCAGAGACCTTAGAGATAATGTGTGATTGTTGTGGCAAAATGTAGCAAGTCTTGCTCACTGTCCTAACTCAGTGAAATAGAGAATTAACCTGAGTCAGGTTTTAGTTCTAAGTTTTCCTGTTGTTAAGCTGAAATTTTCCATGAACATTCAGGCCTTACAGAAGAAGAAGCAAGACACTAAGAATCTGGCTTCTCTATCTAACCAAAGTGAAAAACGAGCAATAGAACTTGAGCAGAACGTGGCTCAGATGAAGCATCAGCAGACCCTGCTAGAGAAAAGACTGCGTGAGGAGAGTGAAAAAAAGAAGCAAGTAGAAGCAGAGCTTCAGCGGGACCAGCTACAAATTAAAGTAGGATTCTTTCTGTTTCCTTATGACAAAGAATAAGATAAACCAGTTTGACCTTTGTTTTCCCAAAGGCAATGTACTATACTACCAGATTTTGTCCTTTTAAGTAATTGCTTACTTGACACTGAAGAAATTGTGTATAAGTATTTTCACAGAAATCTTCATTCTTCCTTTCTCTTCAGCTATGTTTTTGAATGTTATTATGTAATGTGTAGCCCTGAGTTGCAATTTTGCATGTAAATTAGTTCAATATTTCTGATTTCATGATTGCGTAGATTCTGTCATTAAATGTGTTTGAAAAACACACTGATAGAGGCAGAAAGAAAGTTTTGTTTGTTTGTTTTTGTTTATAGGAACTTCAGCTTAAGACGGAACACACAGAATCACAGAATCACAGAATTTCTAGGTTGGAAGAGACCTCAAGATCATCGAGTCCAACCTCTGACCTAACACTAACAGTCCCCACTAAACCATATCCCTAAGCTCTACATCTAAACGTCTTTTGAAGACTTCCAGGGATGGTGACTCCACCACCTCCCTGGGCAGCCCGTTCCAGTGCCTCACAACCCTTTCAGTAAAGAAATTCTTCCTAACATCTAACCTAAAACTCCCCTGGCGTAACTTTAGCCCATTCCCCCTCGTCCTGTCACCAGGCACATGGGAGAACAGGCCAACCCCCACCTCGCTACAGCCTCCTTTAATGTACTTATACAGAGCAATAAGGTCACCCCTGAACCTCCTCTTCTCTAGGCTGAACAAGCCCAGCTCCTTCAGCCGCTCCTCATAGGACTTGCTCTCCAGGCCCCTCACCAGCTTCGTCGCCCTTCTTTGGACCCGCTCAAGCACCTCAATGTCCTTCTTGTAGCGAGGGGCCCAAAACTGAACACAGTACTCGAGGTGCGGCCTCACCAGAGCCGAGTACAGGGGGACAATCACCTCCCTAGCCCTGCTGGTCACACTGTTTCTGATACAAGCCAGGATGCCGTTGGCCTTCTTGGCCACCAGAGCACACTGCTGGCTCATATTCAGCCGACTGTCCACCATCACTCCCAGGTCCTTCTCTGCCTGGCAACAGCAACAGAAGATTCTTAAACTTAAAGACAGTGAGATTGCTGCATTTAAAAAGAAGAAAAATAAGTCGGTGGGAACTTTACAGAAATCAGAGGTAGCTAATCTATTCCAAATCTGTGTGGACACTGAAAAGAAAGGTGTCTTTATTCACCCCGTGTCATCTTTGTAAAGCGTTTAGAAGAAGAGTATTCCGTCCTCCCTCCCCTGTTTTTTTTTTTAAATTGTTATTTTTTTGTTGTAGCAAAAACTGAGACAAGTCAAGAAGCTCTTTTACTGGTTTTGAATGAACGAAAGGAGAGGGCTGTAATGTCTTTGTTTGTTCTATGACTTGTCAAAGGTAGTAATTCAGATAGCTGGAAATTCAACAAGTTTGGTTGTCTGGTAGGTTTGAAGATGATTCTGATGAGCTCTGTTATAAATGTTGCAGGGTTTGTTTGTTTATTTCTTTTCCCATCTGACAAATATGACAGATGGCTATGGTTTTGGTTTTTCATGACAGTGTTAGAATAGTAGGTTTCCTGTGCAACAGTGCTACCTGCATGATTTCAGAACTAGACATTGGAACATGAGAGTTTCATGAGTTAACCAAAGTCTTTAGAGGTGAAAATAAATTTAAAAAATGAAATAAAAGCAACTTTTTAGCTATACCAGCAATATGCCCACTGATAAACCATTGCTTCAGAAGAGACTTATAATAGACTCTGCTAGCAGGATCAGAACTCCCATTTTTTCTTTCTTTCAGCATCACAGTTTCTCATCACGATGTGTTTTTCCACAAATCTTGGTCTTGGGCAAGAATCATGCAATGAGGATGGGCTAGCTGATTTCTTGTGGTACCTTTCAAACTTAGTTGTTGTCATTCTATATATGACATCTATTTCTATAACTGTTTTTAGGAAAATAATACATTTCCTTGAAAGCATCTGATAAAATTTTTTGCATAAGATGTAGTAATATAACATTGCTGAGCCTCTCCTTAAGTCAGTCCTATTTCTGTATTATCCTGAATCAGGATTCTGTTGAACACTTAATGTTAAGAATTGAAATGTTGATTTCTCACGTTTTATCAGTTACTCTAAAAGAGGAAAAACATAGTCATAAAATTCTGACCCAAATAGTCCTCGTTAATGCTCTCTGGATCTCTGTTTAAATTGTAGAAATTAGAAGAGCAAAAGAAATGGCTGGATGAAGAAATGGAAAGAATTCTTCAACAGCACCAACAGTTAGCGGAACTAGAAGAAGATTTAAAGAAAAGAGAAGCCATTGTAGCTAAAAAAGAAGCATTATTGCAAGAGAAAAGCCACCTAGAAATCAAGAAACTGAGATCTAGCCAGGTGATTTAAGAAAAAAAAAGAAAGAAAGAAAGAAAGAAAGAAAGAAAGAAAGAAAGAAAGAAAGAAAGAAAGAAACTTAACACAATTGTAGAGCTGCCTGGAAAGACTATGGGAGGAGGGCAGCCGGATAACAGAAGAGGTTTAAGCCATGCAACTTGTATCTCTAGCGCTGCCATTACATTATTGTGTGGCTTGATCAAATCAACATTTTAAACATGAATAATAGAATGTAATAACCTTTATTTACATGATATCCCCGAAATTCTAACAACAAAACAAAATCTGACTTCCAAAGTTCTGTTATTGCAGCACATTAAATAACGATATCTAAAAAATTGCTCAATGCCTGCAAAGTAGAGAACATGGCAGAGAAACATTCTGTATTATTTACTTTGGCTACTGAGAAACAGAAATTGAAATGTCATTGTCACCGTAATGACTAACTCACGTAAGATATGTAGAAAACTGCACATTGCTTTTCTTTGTTTTCTTTCATCTTTTGATTAAATAGTAAATTTTACGGTAGCTATCTACTTAGCCTAAATGGCGTCCCTTTACAAGAAGTAGACAGGTCTTCCACTTTAGGATGCGACAGTCTCATGTACATGTTTATGGGGAAGGAGTTTTATACTTACGGTTTCTTTCATTCTTCCTCTTATTTCTTTCTCTCTCTCTCTCTCTTTTTTTTTTTTTTTTTTTTTTAAAGGCTTTAAACAAAGATAGTATGAACTTGTCTACTTGCTTAAGTATGCTGGACCAGGAATTGTGTGATAAAAGTATGCAGCTTCAGGACAGCACTACTGAAGATAAGACAGACATTCTGGAAAAAATTCATGTTCTTCAGAAGGAAAGGGATCAGCTACTCAGAAGAAGAAATAGTGTGGATGAGAAACTGAAAGAGGGTAACTGAAAAGTGTTGTCAGCTGAAGTAAGTAACTATCTCTGAGATACATCAAAGTTTTAGGCAATGTTGTATAATAAATCATGACCTAAAATGTCCCCCAGTATTAGATAGTAGAGAATCAAGGAACTGAGGTTGGGTGTTTTTGTTAACAGCCGACATGAAAGTACTGCTATAATGGCACTACTTACGTAACAGTGAACAACATATACTTTCAGAGGGACTTACTTACTTTAGCTAGAGTCCGGACAAATGTCGCTGGCCTAACAATTCTATAATTAGAAATAATGAAACAGGATGTCCATCAATTTATCTTAGGCAGCTATTTTCCTATCAGGACATAGAACAAGGTGAAGTACTCTAATAGTGATGTCCCTTGATTTTTTTTTCATAGGCTTTTGTGAAAGACCAAACCTCACCTGAAGGCCTCCATATAGTTACAATGAAAATAAGCCATATTGTGGATGTTACACACTTGAATAGATCAGTATAATTAAGTTGAAGATTGAATAAATTGATGTAAAATACACAGATTTGTTTTAGGTCTTGAGAAGCAGCAGTTGGGGCCTATTACTGAGCTGATAGCATGCCAGAAAGAATCCTATTTGCTTCACTCCACAGAATCTTCTGCAATACTTCAGGGCGTGAATTTCTGCCACCTTCCTGCACAGATAATGGTCACCAAACTGCTTACGGATCTGATTGGTTCATTAATCGCTAATTAGAAAACTAGTTCAACTGAAAAAGTAATAGAAGTCATCAAATTGTGGGGAGGGGAAAATGAAGGAAGAATAGAATGTAGGCTTTTGTGGTGATGAACCATTTGTTTGAACTCTGGTCTGTGGAAGGGATATCAAGACATTTCCTGCTTGCTCCAAGCAGGTTCTAGATTTGTACTCTTCCTCTTATTTTTCCCATTCCATTCTCTGTACTACTACTAGTTAGTCTTGCTCTTAAATTTAGATTCACCTTTGAGAATGAAGTTAATGTCTTATGCACACAAAGATTTGTTTTGTACTTTTTTTACAATCTCACTCCTATGTTTCTGTGTAGGAAGAACATGTCCTTTTGCATCTGAAAGAAGGAATTGAAGCCCTGGAGGCTGCTATTGATTACAAGAATGAAAGTATTCAGAGTCGCCAGTACTTGCTTAGATCCTCTTCAAAGATCCTTTCACAGAGTGAGGATAATGGAATAGGAAAACTAGTTTCCTTGTCTGCTGATGAGCTCAGAGCTATCCTCTTCAAATACTTTAACAAGGTTTGCTTTGGCTAATTATCAATATTTTATCCTATTACCTGTTATTGCGCTAAATAGTTAAAGGAAATAGTGTCAAGAAGTAAAGTCAATTTAATCCACTTTCCTTGAAAGCCTGCTTAGGTTACTCACATCTGTTGTTAATTTGGATATTTTGCATCTTGACATCAACATAAAAAAGGATGCTTTTCTATTACTTGTTTGTATCTTGTTTTGGTGTCATTAGCTTAAAAGGTGTTGCAAATCTGGAAATTTCCTTGCTCCTTTCCACTGCTTTATGCTGCTAACTTCTCAAGTAGCAACATATTTAAATAGTGGTGTCGTATTGAAATTCTTCCCACCTGCAGTCTTTATTAACCTCAGGATAGTATTTCTTTTTTCCAAATCCATTATAAAATCTTTCTGCAAATAAGCTCTTACCACCATATACTGAAGAATCGTAATGACACCTGGAAACATAAAAAAGAAATGCATTAGGACTTGGTGTCTCTCTTTGCCCATGGGTGAACCTTGGGTGATTTTGTGAACAAGTTGTCTGTGGTACACAAATTGGCAGTTTTCCAGAAACAGGAAAAAAACTCTTGTATCAGTTTAAGTTCTGCACAGGGCATTAAAAAATCCACTAGTCCATGTGATCAAAATCTACAGAGCTCAATTCTGAAGTGTGAACTCATGTCAGCAGGCAAATCTGTTTCCAGTATAAGCTTACAGCTTATACAGACAATTGCTTTTGTATCCATTCATCTATTAAGCAGAACTGTAAAAGCATTTGTTGAAATGGTTTGATAGAAGTGATAGATTTGATAGATTGTCTTAGATTGTTGGCCTGCGAGAGTCTGAACGTAAATTACAACTGCAGACTGAAGAACAGGAGATGAAGGTCATAGACCAGGAAAATATAAAACGTGAATTGGAATCTGCACTTGAGCACATCAAGTTGCAGTGTGACAGGCAGCTGACACTACAACACAGAGAACATGAGAAAAAACTACAGTTGATACTGCATCATTTCAAGGGTGCTTGTTTGTTTTCCAAGGGGAATTGTACAGCAGATATTATCTTTAGTCACTGTTGAGAAATACTGTGTTTCATATGAAAGAAAAAAGAAGATATGAGGTAGAAAGATAACATTTTGGCTGTTACTAATTCTGATGTCGTGTAGGATGCTGATGAACAGACACAAGGTGCTTGTATAAAAGAAAAAAGCTGACCATTTTTAAAAAACGGTCAGAATTGTCACATTTTTATATTCAATTTGTTGACATTGGAAAGGTGAAAGATAGCAATCCCATTGATCTTTATCCTCTAAATGCTCCTATTAAAATGGAGAATTGGGGTTGGCATGGGCTTTTTGATCCTCTGTCATACTAGTTTAAATGTACACCCTGAAAGCAGAGTGTCAGCAAAATACAGGACATTCTCCAGCTGGGCATCTTGATTTTGGCACAGAGAAGTGAAGTGAAGATTTGATTCTCATACTAGTTTTACTTGCCCTAGAACAAGATGGTGAAGGTATTGCAGAAACCTTGAAAGAGTATGAAGTAAAAGTCCAGCAACTGGAAAAAGACTTCTTTTATTCTAGAGAAAACCAGCAGAGAGCTGAAGAAGAAATTGAAGGGCTTTTTTGGAGAGTCACCCCATCAACTAATGGCACCTACTAAATGTAAATACATGATCTTAAAATGCTTTTGTGTTTGTCAGTAGATCATTTGAGGGGTAGCAAACAGACAGAAGTATATCAGATAGACATAAAACTCATATTTTTACTGAACTAACTCTTATCCAGGAAGGTACTACATCTCCCCACACTTGCAAAGGAGAGAACATCAGTTTGTAATAGAGGCAGTGGTATAACACTGTTCTAAATTCATGTTTGGTTTTCTGTGGATTCAAGCATAATTTCAGAAGCTACAGTCTCACACTGTTGTGGTTGAGAAAACGGTATTTTATGATCTGAAAGACTCTGAATGGCATTATAATTAACAAATGTGTAATATGCTATGCTTTTAGATGCCAGTATTTTAAACAATCAACTTGATTTTGCTGCCAGCACTTGATTTCATAGAAGTTATTTCTTGGAAGATTGTCAGTGAGGAGGTCCATACTTCCAGTTAACTAAAATCATTCTTTATTAAGGTTAAAAGACCTAGATATTTGTAGTAAGAAGATAAGCTTCCTAATGTGATCTATGCTTTGACCAAAAAAAAAAAAAAAAAAGGACCAACAAACAACTATGAAAAGTTTTTTTGATTGTTCCAGGTCCTACTAACCACAACTCAAACTTAAAATGAAGTAGTTCTAGTGTAGAAGCAAAAATGGTTTAATCATTGTCATTATCTTGGTTGTCTTACACCTCACACTGCCACCACCACCACTTCACACGCACAGTGCAGCCTTCTTGGCCCCGTGTTTCGTCTTAAGGCTCAGCGTGACTCATTCTTCCTCTTAACTGATGGTTCTATTTCGTCACACTTGAGGTAGTGCCATGTCTTTGTAACACGTAGATGCTGGTCACATATGCATCTGTTGCTACCAGAGTGAATTGAGGTTTAGCTCTCCAGGCAGGATAATAAGCCTAGAGGTTCATTACTCGAAAGTATGCTGTGGCGGTGTGAACATGAATATTGCACAGGTTGGACTGTAAATGAGCATGGGGAAGATTATTCTGTGTCTAATACACAAAGAAGCATGTAGTCCAGGACATGTTTTGCTGTGAGGAAACATCCATCGCAGCCAAACTGTAGCGAAATGTAGAAGGGTGAATGTCCCTGTGAATTTCTAACTTTTTCAAATCCATATGTTTGTAACGTTTGTAAGAAGCGCTCAGTATTTTTGTATAATTACCTTTAGTTATCTTTCCTCTGAATATATTTTGGGGCATAATACAATGTAATAAAAAAGTGATGAGCTTTAAAAATAACAAAAATCCCTGTGTACATTAAAGTCACATTCAAAGACTATGTTTTGTGTGTTCTGCTAATGAAATTGCAGACTACTTTTGAAAATACGAAGAATTTCATATTTTACTGTCATGGTTCAGTTGTTTTAAGATTGCCTAAATTGCAAGTTAGAATGGTGAAGCTTGTATTACAAGCAAAGAGCCAGCGGAAAGTAAAAGACACAGTCTTTTACTTCCTCGTCTTTCGGGTCCTTAACATACAATGGTGCTAGCTCAGACCTAGGAATCACCAGTCTTTATCTTGTTCCCTGTCTCAAGTCCCCCCTTTTCTTGAGCCTAAGCAAATTCTTTGGCTTATTACAATCCTTCTTGATTAAAAGTTTTCATTAAATTCTTACCAGTTTTGACTTGGTGCTTGTTTCAGTTACACTTCCAGGTATCATAATCTAGTCCTTCATACAGCACCAAAATGCACATTGTACCACTACACAAGTCAAGACTACTACTCTTAAAAAGAAGATCAGGATTCCTCTAAACGATTGCTTAAGCCAAGAAAAGTTGGGTAACCAAAAGGTTATTTTGTTGCATAATTCTCGAAAACCCCAGGAGGTGTCATCTTGAATTACCTTACGTAATCACCTTAGACTAATCACCTTATTACCATAGTCTTTCCCCAAATGTTTTCGTGCTCAGTCTCAATTCCTCCTGCCTCATTTACACACATACAGCAACTAATATTGATTAAAGTGCATCCTTCCCCTTGGGAGGCAAATAAAAGGTCTAGTGCCAAAACCTTGATTTGTTCTAGTTGCTTGCACCAAACTGTAAGATGTTGTTGCAAATATTGGTTTCCTAAATGTGTTAGATCTTCTCCTTTGTCCAGCATTTGGTAAGGCCTGCCATACAATATCTCCAAAGGGGCTTAGTTTGACCAAGTTTGCTCCTGGGGGATGGATGGAGCCCGTGGTAGGGAGCCGTGTGGGAGCAGTGCTTGAGGAGCTGCTGCCTTTGGCAGCCCCTGCAGGCTCACTTTGGGAATCCCGTGTGAGGGATGAAGTTCTTTGTTTTTTTTTTTGTTTTGTTTTGTTTTGTTTTTTTCTGAAGAAAGCGGGTGTTTAAGAAGGAAATGCAGAGTTGCCTTTGTTTGGCACTCGATGGTCTTGAGGTCTCTTCCAACATAGACATTCTGTGATTCTGTGAAGTCACAAACGCCAAGGCATCACACTGGCTGGCTCTGCAGCACAGATGCCAGGAGTGCCGCTTGGCATGGCGGCGGCGGCGCGGTGCCCCAGCCCCAGGCCCGTCCCAGCCCCAGCGCACGTCGCCCTCTGCTCCTCCATGGAGCCCCCCGCCGCCTCAGCAGCCCCGCGGCGGACGCCCCATGGCGGAGCCGCCCCCGAGGAGAAGGAGCCCGCAGCCCTCTGCCCGCACCGCACTGCACCGCACCGCACCAAGCGCCGTGCAACGGCTGCCACCGCCGCGGGGGCTCCTGGTGTGAGCGGCAAGCGGTGGCAAGGGGGGGCTGCGCTTCCTGAGTCGAGCTGCTGGACACCGGCTTGCCTGGGCAATTGCCCATGTTGCTGAGGAGGCAACAGAGCCAAAGCCCTTGGGGCTGAAGATCCAGCACGGCTGGGGAGGCTTTGGTATTTCTGCACAATGCTGCTCAGTCCTGCTTGGGAGCCCAGACTCAGGTGCGGAATGAAGCCAAGCAAGCTAGAGGGAAACTGTGTGCTGGTAAGTTGTCAGTTCTTGCTTTCTTTTTCATTCCTCATGCCTAAGAAAACCTAACTCTTTCAAGCACTTGTTTGATGGACTTGATTCTGGGTGTGCTCCTTAAGCTTGTTTGGCAGCTGTTGAACCCCGCTACACTTGCAGGAGACCTGTGCTCGAGCTGATGCTTGCTGTGATCAAGCGGTGTTCTTTTGCTCTTCTTTGCTTTGAGGATGGCGGGTGAGGTTGCAAAGAGTTTTCAGGAGGATTCTTCTTTTCCTTTGCAGAATCCCAGACTGCGTATTAGAGCTGATCTTCATCTCTGCTCGGAAAAGCTTCACGGGCCAAAAGAGAATGGAGATGAGGAAGGCAATGGAGAATGATGAGGACTATTTGCAGTCAGCACCCGTAAGCTTTGTAAAGAATCAGGTGCATTTCTGTAGTGGTAGAAAGCGTAGCTGGAAAGACTTCCTAAGGACGTCAAGTCCAATTCATTGTTCTCAGTTAGAGCAATCCCGTAGTTTAGACTCCTGATAAGGTATTTGTCTGTAGGCAGCTGCCAACTTGTCCAGCTAATCCAATTCAGCCTGGAAAACAAGCAAGCAAGCAAGCAAAAAGCACAGAAACCTGCAGTTTATGGAGTGCAACTGTCTCCTTTCCAATCTCATGGGTTTCACCCATTTGCTTCAGAGGACAGTACTTTGATGCTTTCCAGGGCTAATGGCCAAAGTTCTCAAAGCACTTTTTTTTTTTTTTCCCATCAGTGATATATACATTTGTCAATCTTTCCATCTTCATTTAGAACTCTGAATTTAGGTTTTAGGTGAACAAGAACCCTGAAACCAGCTGAAGCCATATCAGACATGAAGCCATATCAGACATAGTAAGGACATGTGTCTGTGAGGAAGTAATTCAGAGTGATTCTCTGGTGTCCTTTGGACAGCTTTCCTCTGGTCCTCTGCACTAAGCATCCCCAAGGGATATTTCAAAGCTCTCGGAATGATCTGTCATTCTCTCTTCCACTGGAGTCTCCATTAGAAAAGCGTGACTATTCCTTGCCCATGTGGAAAAGAAGTCCTCCTTGAGTTGTTTCTTAGCAAAACCTCTTTCTTGTGTTCTCTGGACAGAAACCACTTGGCTAGACAAACTCAATCATTGCAAATGGAAGGAGTGGAACTACTTCAGCACCGTGCTTCGGCTTCTAAGCAGAACTGTAATGTAGGTGGGGACAGAGCAAGAGGACATGGCCAAGCCAGGGTGGACTTGAAAGTGCCGTGTCTGAGCCACAGCAAGAAGTCCATGATTGCCACTTGGAGACTGCTACTCACCTAGTAGCACAGCAGCTGGAACGCTTCTGGATACTGCTGATGGATTGCCACGAATCAGGCAGTGACACAAGCTACGAGAATGACGGAAGTGACTGGAAGTGATGCTTCTCCCTGTTCTCCATTGCAATTTGTGAAAGAAAGGAGAAGAGAGGAGAAGAAGAAAGGAGAAGACGGGAGGGAGGGGAGGGAAGGGTAAAAACGAGAAGGGGAGGGGAGGGAAGGGCAGGGGAGGGCAGAGGAGTTCTGGGGAGGGCACGGGAGGGCAGGGGAGGGCATGGGAGAGCACGGGAGGGCAGGGGAGGGCTTGGGAGGGCACGGGAGGGCACGGGAGGGCAGGGGAGGGCAGGGGAGCAGAGTGTAGTGGAGTGTAGGGTAGTGTATGGTAGTGTAGGGTAGTGTAGGGGAGGGGATTGTAGGTGAGGAGAGTGTAGGGGAGCGTAGGGGAGGAGAGTATAGGGGAGTGCAGGAGAGGAGAGTGGAGTGGAGTGTAGGGAAGGGGAGTGTAGGGGAACTGAGTGAAGGGGAGTGTAGGGGAGCATAGTGTAGGGGAGTATAGGGGAGCAGAGTGTAGTGGAGGTGTGTGTAGGGGAGTGTAGGTGAGGAGAGTGTAGTGGAGTGTAGGGAAGGGGAGGGTAGGGGAACTGAGTGAAGGGGAGGGTAGGGGAGCAGTGTGTAGGGGAGTGTAGGGGAGGAGAGTGTAGGGGAGCATAGCGGGGGGGAGTGTAC